TCAATGATAGATAAAGTATAACCATCTGCTCTCAGTTGGCAATGAACGTGTTAAACCCCTCCCGAATTTCGGTAAAGAAAATCTTTGTGAGTAATATAAAAACCCATAAATCAGAATTATATAATTCAAATAACTTATCGTTTACCCTCTATCGCAAACATATTTATTTTTTAGGAATACAATCACGGCAGTAAAAAAAAAAAAAAAAAAAAATAAGCTAGACAGTGAAAAATCTTTTGCGCAAGCCCTATATATTTTATTTTAAAACCGTGGATGAACAGCCTACCTAATTTTGAGTTTACGACTACCAATGTTCTACTCACTAGCCTTGTCATTTTGAACCTAAACCAGAAGACACGGGAACTCCTGCATCAAGTATTAGGAGAAATTTGATTTCGTGGAATACTACTTGTTTAAGAAACTAACCAGCATTTGCGTTACATGGAGAGGAAAATCACTAAAACCTCCTACTGTTAGACTGGCGGCAAAGAGACTCTAACCTATGAACCGTCTACCACTGGGGATATTTAACGTCAGCACTGTGGTCAGTGCGAGCCGGGTGTAGAATTCGTATCGACCAGTCATCGCTGGGATTCGAACCCGGGACACCTCATTCGGGGGCGAGCAGTCTATCTCCTGAGTCACCACGGCTCCAAGCCCCGTATATAAAGAATTTTCTAATTAATTAAAATTTATTATTTAACATTTGCACTCGCCTAGCAGCCTATTAACCCTTTAATGGGCCATTTATTTCTAGTAAAGGTAAATTAAAGTATTTTTGGAATTGAACTGTTGAATTGAAGTGACTTTTATTTTTCTTTATTTATAAAATAAATTTTATAAATGTTACAAACTTCAAAAGGAATTATGTATTTTATAACTTTTTTTCGTTTTTTTAAACTAACAAACAGTTACCAATTTTATTCAAACGCACTTCAAGAAAGCTGAAGTTATTAACAAACGGAAACCTAAATTAAAAGTGGTAAAAAAGGATGGGAAGTATACTTCCCACTGCCTTCGAAAGGGTTAAAGTAGTTTTTCAATCACTCGTCAACCCAGCGGCAATCTAGACAATAATAAAATAGCCAATTTTTTCTAATTTTTAATTGCTATAATTAATTCCTTATCATTTGCACTTAACCTGTAACCTACTAAAGTATCACAGTCAAACTGCAAATTAGCAAAATATAAAAAATTATTAAAATGATTGATTCATAACATGACGCTACATCTCCAATTGTAATACAGATGTAATAAAACTAATATAACTCAAATAATAGTTTACGCATTAAAAAAAAAAAATTGCTTCCATTTTTTTTCCCGAAAAAAAAAAACTCATATGAAAAGCAACCTATTGTATGATACTCAAACCAGCAATTACATGAACGCAAAATAGCATTCAATTAGAACATAAGTTATTTATAAAAAACGTAATAGACAAACATTTTATTCTTAGACATCCGAACAATATTCATTCACTAGGTCACTGACCAAACTTCAAAAACAGAGACTAGCATTTAATGCCGTTCTTTAACTAGCCGCATCACTGACAGCAAAAGCGACATGAATGCTACTGCCAAATTACATATATTAAAATCTAACCAACATACCACCGGGATCTTCAAGGTGTAATCATCCGGATATAGGCTTTCAAAATGAGTGCAGTTATATTGCAGGAGGAGAAAAAGCAATCTAAATGATTTTTTTCCCCTTCATATTCTTTCACAAATATCCTCCAATGAAAAATTATACTCTTGCTTTATAATAAAACAAGTTAAAGCTGTTATATGAATACACAAAAAACTCATTTCAGTAAAAAAACCTAGATGATGTTGACTGTTGCCAGCTATCACGCAAATCGAATTTGAAAAAAGAATTACGGCAATTCTGGAACTAGAATTAATTTTAACAATCATGCAATAATGACTGGAAAGACTGGAACACAAAATTGTTTAACCTTCTATAGACCGTATCTTTTCAAAAATCGTGTAGCTGGAGCTGGCTATCTCTCTTCCCTCCCCCTCTTCTATTTATTTATGCCTTCTCTGGAGAGCATGTTCTGTATTAGTTCACGGGAACATTAAAAATGCTTAATTTATTTATTTAAAAAATAAATAAATAAGACTCAAAAGTGTTGTAAAGACATTGGTTTCTGACTCATTCATTTGAATCTCTGTATTATAATCATTTTAAAGTAATATTTAATGTAAATTCCTCACATAATTTATTGCTATATAAAAAACGAAACAGTTACTATTAATCGTAAACACTATGCAAATGCATTCCTTTTTCAGGGTGCGTAGCTAACTTATTCAACAAAAAGTAAGCACCTTTTAAGCACTTTTCAAGCACTCAAAAAATATTTTTAAGCACTTTAAAAAAATATCATAATTAGCATAAAATATCACTTTTGGCATTGCTTATGACAATTGTCAAAAATCATGAAATTTTTAATCATGTAAAATGAATGTTGCTTTCATACGCTACGGACTGACAATACGCCGAAATAAATAGGGGTTGAATTAATTGTGAAGACGTTTGAATAGAACAATGTGAACTGTGTCTTTTGGCATAATTCGAAGCGAAAATCAACATAGTAAAGAAAAAATCTCATTTTGAAAAAGGGAAAATTAAGCATATTTTAAGAACATCCAATGAAAAAAGCGCCCTTGAAGGCTTTTAAAAAACGAAAATCGAAAATAAACACCTTTAAACACTTTTTAAAAACGGTACGCACGATGGTATATTACCAAAAATGAAAAAATTTTACAATAATGAATAATTGTAGAATTTAAAAAAAATAATAAATAAATTTTAATGAAAAACCAGTGGAGTTATGCCGTATACTTTTCGTACACCTCCACTTTGCCCTTGCTTACATCTTTCTTCTTTTTTTCCTTATTCTTACTTATATTATGAATCAAAGGAGAAACGAATGTTTTACAAAAAGAAGAAGCAAAAATTTAGCTCCATACCTTCAAACAATAAAAGTTTACGTCTTTCATGGGCATCGCTGATAGGGGGAAGGAGGTACATGTTCCCATACATAATTATAAATTTACATATAAAGAAAGTTTGCAGTAATCATCTTTCATTTAAATTCATCACAGTATTAAAAACGAGACAGGGACAAAAACTTTTGATTTTCTAGGTAGGAGAAATTGAGCAGATTTAAGAAATTTTTTTTTTTTTCTTGTGTGTGAAATTTAGAGAATGTGTACATTAATTCCATCCCCCTTTTTATTCCATTACAACTGTAATGGTATATTACTAAAAATCAAAAAATTTTACAATCATGAATAATTGTAGAGTTCTTTTAAAAAAAATAATAATAACATTTTAATGAAAAACCAGTGGAGTTACGTCGTAGTCTTTATGTACACCTACACTTTCCCCTTGCTTACTTCATTCTTTATTCATCTTTTATTTAAATTCATCACAGTATTAAAAATGCGACAAGGACAAAAACTTTTAATCTTTTAGCAGAAATTGAGCAGATAAGAATTTTTTTTCTTGTGCGTAAAATTTAGAGAATGTGTATGTTAATTTCATCCCCCTCAAAAATATGTTAATAAAAATCAATTAACATCAAAAAATTTATTTAAATAGTTTTCTGAATAAGGAAATAAATGTATTTATTATTTCATGGGTAAAAAATGTGGTCTTCTAATGATGTTAATACTAATTATTAAAAGTTAGAAAAGCGCTGTTTATCAAGAATCTTCATAAAAGAAACATCAAAATCCTTTCCCATCAATTTTAATTCAATAAAATATAAACATATGTTAAATTTGAAACACGATGTGAGTGAACTTGCGATAGAGTTTTAGAAGTTTTTAAATGTATTTATTATACAACTTTTCGTGCTTTAATTTAGTGAACAAAATGATTGCATTAAAAAATGCATAAGTTATGGTGCTGCCATCTACTTTGTAGGATTATACCAAATAGTTTTAAAAATACAGATAAGACTTCATATGTCCTATTTTATTTAATTTTTGTTTATTATTATTTTTTTCTTGTTTATTTTTTTTTTTTTAAATTTATTTTTTAATTCCTTTTTGTATTTTTTAAAAGCTAAATTTTTAAATTTAGTGTACTCCTTATTCTAAGACAACAAAAACAAATAAATTTCATAAATTTTTACGTCGGAAATAATTAATGTTTAAAGAAACAGAAACTATGTGCCGCCTAAAAATTTATCAAATTTCAAAATTTATAACTAGCTTTAATTAATAAGAATTATTATTTTTCTTAACCGTAAAATGTCCATGGCAAAAATTTGCAAATCAGAAAACCTCAAGAAAGAAACTTCAGTGCTGCCATCTATTCAATTGATATAACAAACAAAGAAATCAATCATGTTTTAAAATTGAATAAAATATTTATGGAAAAAAACAAACGAGATAGAACAACGCAAAAATTAAAAAGCATCTTTTCATTTAGCATAAATAGAAAAAAATGTTAAAGAACATATTTTTTAAAACAAAATGAATTCCAACAAAAAAGAAGAAAAAATAGAAGAGAATCAAATTTTTTCATACCTAACAAGTTAAATTTCATCATATATTGGATAAAATATTTTGTTTTTATAAAATCCTTTTCAAAACGAGCAAGCATTACAGAATTTTAAAAAAATATTTAAAAAATAAAGTATTGAAACCAATAGAAATGAAAAATCATTGAAAAGATTGTGTATTTTATTTTATTCTTTCTACAATTTTGCAATGGTATTTAAACATTTTTAAGAGAATTCAATATTTCAATTCAATAATTTTGCAATGGTGTTTAAATATTTTGTAAGCCAATTCAATAATTCTGCAATGGTTTTTAAATATTTTTTTAAGAGAATTCAAAAATTTTGCAATGGTGTTTAAATATTTTTTAACAGAATTCAATAACTTCAATATTTCAATTCAATAATTTGGCAATGGTGTTTAAATATTTTTAGGAGAATTCAATAACTTTGAAACTGAGCCAATATTTTAAGAAACACATACCTTGTTCGTCAATGCTTGTTTGATCGGTTTCTTTCACTGGCAATTTTGATCCAGAATTTTCTTGCTAAAATGAAAAATAATTAATTAATCATAGTATCAACATAAACAAACATATGAACAAATTTATCATTTCTAGTCAAAATAATAATAAAATGCATTAAAGTTTTAAAAAAAATTATTAATGAAAAAAAATTTGATTATTAATTGAAAGTGAGAATCTCGAATCGAACGAATAGTCTCGTGAACAAATGTCAACAATATACTTATCGTAATTTTGCATTCTTCAGTACTTGCTCAATAAACAAAAAGCTTTGAGCAAAATTCTTTAATAGGTAGGAAAAGAATAGAATGAAACACAATTAATAGAGCGAAACACAATTTACTAATTTCTCTTTCCCCATGGAGATAAAATTTTATTAGTTTATATATTATCTTCTTACTTGGAAAAACAATAAAAAAAGACTAATAGTGTTTCATTATACCCTGCATACAGAACAAATGAAACACTCCAAACAATACAAGAAAAAAAAAATCGGTTTTCACCAAACATAAACGATTTTATAAACATTTTACAACGCAATAAGCTAAATACAAATAAGCAACTTAATTAATAAAATACAAAAAGTAAATATCTTACGAGATTATGGGACCTGCAATTAGCAAATAAAACTGGGGATATTTAAATTCATTTTCCAAAAGTATCTTGCTCTGAAATTCATTTTTAATTTGTTTGCATGAATGTGGCGCCGCTTAAAGGCTGCGCCCTTGGGACAAATGATGCCCGCCCACTGCATATAGAGTAATGTAGAATCCAATTATGTTATAGATCAGATGTCCCAAAAAGACTTAAGAGGTTCCGAGAGCTCAATATTTTTTAAACATTTTGGAAACATGTAATTATATTTAGATCCAATCAATAATTCATTATTTGTTTAATATTTCGGCTGTATTTATGAAATTATTTAAAGTAAAATGACAATAAAAAAGAAGTATAATATTTTTTTTAAAAATACATTCAGAATTTTTCTACTAACAATGCATTGGACAAATTATGAAAAACGCATGCATCTATAGAAAATTTGGATTAGTATTTTCCCTCGCTCTTTTCATATCAAAATTAAATAACTAAATTCGTTAATAAAGAAATATGTTTCCCAAATAACCATTTTCAACGTTTACAATAGTTCTCTTAATTTTTAATCCGACAAAAACCATAGTTCGGCTTATTTTATTCATTTTCAGCTTATGTACATGAACCAAAAATAAACTCATTGCTAAGTCATACTGCAAATTCAAATGTCAGACATAAAACCTAATTTTAAGATAATTAATGATAAAACGATGAGAAAATTCCGTTCTTCTTATTAAATGTTTTCAAAATTGTCTTTATGTACGCATTATATACTGTCGGGGTTCCGCCGAAAGACGGTAAATCATTTAAGGTTCCATAGCCGAGAAGAAGTAGGAACCGCTGTTATGGATGGTGTAGCAAGCTCGATACCGCCTAAATTTCCGGGTTACTGCTTCCGTTGTATTTTAAAGTCATTTGGCATCATTGTGTTTTGAGATTCTTGCAAACGTGGTATTTGATTACTTATTACTTGTGTTTACAATGCTAACAATACTTGTGTTTAAGTGTTAACACTAACGTAAGATGATGCACAGCTTGAAACAAGAACAAACAGTAATAAACAAATGCAAAGAGGCCAAATCAGTGCTGCCAAAAAGCGAGTTATTCAAAATCTAGCAACCAAGTCACCTTTTTAAACAATCTATTATATATAATTCTCTTACGTGGCTCCCAAATTTTGGCTGTATTTCTTTTCCGCCGGTGGCAACGTTTGCTTTGTTTTGAAAACACCAAAGCATTCTGCCTTTTAATGATGTGTTTCTGATCTAATATATATAATTCTCTTACGTGGCTCCCAAATTTTGGCTGAAGTACTTTGTACAACTAAATAAGATTCTTTTCACAACAGTTAAATATTTACTTTATTTTCTTCATTCATAGAGAAAACAGTCGGCAAAGAATTCTGTTAGGTTAAAAAACATTTCGCTAAAAAAATAACGAATTCTAAAAGAAATAAAAATAAACAACTTAAAAAATAAAAATGCTGTTGCCAGCCATAGAATTTTTTGAAAGTTAACTTAGCAACATAAATCAAAATGACATAGAAGCGCAACTAGATCAAAATTATGATACCTGAGCGCTTGACGTAACAAATCCTTCAATTCTAAAAGTGTTGTATCGCCAAATGCCCAAATTAACAATTGTGTTCTTAAAGAAATTCTATAAAAAGTTTTAAATAAACAACCTACTTCTACAACTGCTTCTTGAAGAACTTGGCTCATTGATTAAAAATATTGTTTTAATTTTACAGTACTAACTTTACTTCTACTTTCATTATTGCTATGACCCTCTTTCATTACATTTTACAACTTCATGCTAAATTTGAGGACTTTAAGTTGTTTTGTGGTTGAATACTGACATTTAGAAATGTGTACATAAAAAAAATAATATTTAGAGGTTAAGAGTTGCCTCAGAAAAATTTGAATTGTTGACATTGAACTTAACAATGGAAACAATCGTTTTTGTGAAAAATTGAATTGTATTGTTGACATCAAAACTAAAAATATTGTGTTTCAACTTAACAATACTACCTTAATTTATACTTTAGAATTGCCTCGGAGAAATTTGAATTGTTAGCAATGACTTAAACAAAAAGTTTTATTTTAACTGACAAATACTATATTATAATTTTAACTTTTTCTATGACTATACTCATTTTCTTACTCTTTTCTTTGTTTTTTATACATTTTATATTTTTGTGATAAAATAAAAAACTTATAGTTGTTCTGCTTCTGAACACTGATGAAAACACAAAATGATGGGCTTCATCAATAACCAAAAATATATACATTTATTTTACAAATTCCACATTATTAAGGTGGCGCCCTTCAGAGAATTAAAAATACAAAATTATCTTCATCAAAGCCGATGCTTTACCTCCGGCGTTCAGTGGCAGACTACTATTTCGTATTGTTTTACAACATATGGCTTTAGCCCTCTGGTGGGAAAGACTTTAAAACAAAACTTACAATAGTTACTTTTCTTAACAACTGAAATTTAGAATAGTGTGATTACGAAAAATATGTGAACTGTTTGCAATTTCAAATTAATATTGAAATGTACAGGTTTAAAATTTTCTACAGTGAAAAGTTTTCGGAACTTCAGTATTCAAAAAAGTATACAAAAACTAGACGTTAAGAACGTATCCAATGAGCGAGCAAAGCGAGCATTGGATTGCGAAGCAATCCGAAATGAACTGTGAAAGCAGTTCCGGGGGTTGGTGAGCGCCAGCGAGCAGGGGGCGAAGCCTCCTAGTATATCTATAAATAACTAAAACAAATTTTCCCTTTAAACCCACCAGAATTACTTAATAACATTAATATCTTATGAAATACGGCAGATTTGAGCTCAGAAATTATCTAATTTACCTCTTTTGATGAAACAAAATTATCTGTTTGAAAATACCGCCTCGCAGAATAGCATGTAGGAAGCAGCTGCAAACTTTTTAACAGGAACTAGAGCAGGTATCGAGCTCGAGATTGTTATTGTTTACATTTATATTGAAAACACCATCCATAGATAGATGAACAGAAAGAAACTAGCTGCCAGGTGGACCTTCAGAATTCACCGCTTAGCTTTGGATCATCGCTTTACGGATCCCCATGTCATTAAGCACTGGAAACCCATATTGGAGAAAGTAAAAAACTATTATTTTGTTTCGTATTTTTCTTCAAGCATAACTCTGCGACTCAAACAAAAATATACTTAACTAAAAATCTTCCACATTGATTTTTAAAAAAAATTAATAATCCTAACCCATTATTTCTTAATTAATTTATTTATTTATTTCTTAATTAATTATCGATCCTAAAGCATTATTTTTTTCCATGTATAAAGTATTCAAAATCAGTTAATTCGAATCACCAGTTCAGAATTAACTCTCAACCGGTTATGTTGGAACTGATTCACTCATAAAAACCGAAAGATTCTTCCTGAGAAATGTGATTCTTAGATTCTAATGGCAATGTGAATAAGTTCATTCAAATAAAAGTTTTTTATATTCCATAAATTAGAATAATATATCGAAAACAGACTCGATTTGTAAGTCAAATCACTCATTTAACCTCACTAAAGGGAACTTTACCGCTTTTATTAAAACACCGTGCTCTTAAATTGTTATTTTAATGCGTTTTTTAAAGTACAGAAATCAGATATTTACACAAAAAAATTCAGTTTAACATCATTATTAAATTTTAAAAACCAATATGTAAGGATCCTACAGTTTCGCATTTTTCATACGATCATTTCTAACTAATTTATTTATTTTATGATTTTAATTTCGACACACACTGACGTGAATCCAATCTGTGGATTGGAATCAGTTGATTCGAATAACCTGTTAAATACCATAACCAACTTGATTGAAACTGATTTAGTCAAATAAATCCGTAGATAACTATTAAAAAGACTAGCACCAGTTGATTGAAATAAAATTTCACCGATTCCTTTAATTCGAACAAAATCTAAACTGCAAGTTAATCGAATACAGACTCGATTTTTGTACCGAATCATCAATTCATTCGCTCACTGCATAATTTGAGTGACTTTGAAGGTTTGTTTTGCTCAACTATGGCATTGAAAAGATAAAAACAAGACTATTGGAAGAAATGATAATCTATATACATATTTCTTTTATGTGGCACCATAAATTCTGTCTATTGGCAACTATAGTTATTATTCATTTTATTAGCATGTCTTAATTAAGTATAATGTTGAATTGTTAGTTATAAAGTATTTAGAATAATTTTGTATTTTTATGGTACATAATAAAAACTCAATTACGAAGTAATTTCAATTTATTTTTTATACTTTCTATAATAGCAGCTGAAATTTTATACATGAATGGTAGTATGGTACCACATACTGTAATACCAATTAGTGGACGGAGCTAGCCTTTTTCGAGCGATACTCAAACAATAGCTAAGAGGTGCGTA